TTGATTGGCTATTATCTATTAGGTGGAGGTGTAGTGGGGGCGAGTTGGCTACAGCGGTTCCCGTAGGTACAAATGGTCTATGTTCACCCTTCTAACTTTTTTCTGTGTTCTATGGGTGAGGCCTATGCTCAGCAGTGGGCGTCGTACTGCTGATGAGTTTAAATTTTGAGTAAACGTTTCGTTCCGCGAAGTAACAATATTTTCATTTGTTTTTGAACAATATCACCGCACAACGGCATCGCGTTAATATCGCCCCCCCTCATTAATCAAATCGTTATAATCACTGCGAGATTAATTAAATAACCGCGAGCTCCCAGATAAAGGAGACTTGTTAGGCAATTGTCCCACTGCCGGCGAGGAAGCGATTAAGTATCGGCTATTTTTTAGCTCAACTCACTTGTGAATGTCGAAAAGCTACGCCATCGGTTCGCAAATCTACGGCGGGAGACCTTGTACTGAGAAGAACCGGCAAGAAACTCAGCAAGGGCTGTTTTTATCTCCCTGTATTGTATACAAGAGTCGTCAAATTGAAAAATGACTTCAATATGAGGTCACTTTCCATTACAAATGTAAATAATATAAAAAATATGACTTTATAGTAAAAAACTGGTCAAGTGCGAGTCGGACTCGCGCACCGAGGGTTCCGTACAAACTCAATTTAATACTTCTCTGCGTTCATGAGAAAAGAGGTAGTAACATTTAAATTATCAAAAATATTTTTAATTATATCATCATCATCATCATCAGCCTATTAATGTCCCCACTGCTGGGGCACAGGCCTTCCCTATGGATGGAATAGGGAGATTGGGCCATGACCCACCACGCGGGTGCAAATGCAGCCGGGACCAACGGCTTAACGTGCCTTCCGAAGCACGGAGGAGCTCGAGATAGTAAATTTTTGGTCACCCATCCAATGACCGACCACTGCGAAAGTTGCTTAACTTCAACGATCGCAGCCGAACGCACTAGCCACCTGCGCCATCGAGCTCCTCGAATCCTCCTCCTTTAATTATATGATGTAACTAAAAACTTACGGTTTTCGCAATTTTTCCTTTCTCTGTACTATAAGACGTTACTTTGTAATAAATTTAAAGATTCTAAGTTCACGGAAAGTACCCTGTAGGTTTTGATTTTCGTGCAAGTTTCGAAAATTTGCGGAAATTTTCGACATAAACGGCCGTATCTTTTGATTGCTTTGGCTTAGAAGTTAGATTTTTTCACAGCTGCAAGGGACAGTAGACAGAAGTATTAGATATGAATTTCAGTCTGATGCCTCTACGCGTTCCTGAGAAAAACGGTCTGGACAGGCGTACGGACGGACGGACAACAAAGTGATCCTATAAGGGTTCCATTTTTTTCCTTTTGAGGTACGGAACCCTAAAAAATAAAATAAAACTAATTTAATAATGTTTAGGAATGCCGTGTCCTACTTCTGGGGCATAAAAAAATTTACGATCAAAGTTAAATACAACGATTAATAGTACCCAATGTAGCAAGAGCAGACTCATCTCCGCTGGCAGCACCCGTTCACGAGCATGACGCATGAACCAGCCATCGCTTCGCTCAACCATTTTTAGGGAACGCAACAACCCGCCTCGCACGACACCGCCGATTAGATTTTTAAGAGAGCATGACTACCCATAACCACTTATGGATACTATGTTGAAACATAGGAAAAAAATATAAGTACCACTGTACATTATTATAACAAACTATAAACGCAACGGCAGGACACATGCATTTGATTACCTAAACACGGTGTCGATTCTGGCACTACTCTCCAAACCCAAAACCAAACCCAATATCCCCCCCCCCTTTTCACTCTGTATAGCGAATAACAAGGACACACCTCTGCAAAACCAAAGTTCAGGTCTAGAAAACCATGGTGCGCGACCATTCGGAGACGGGTTCCGCAACCACACTCACCTCGGCACGCAGTAGGGGGACCGCGGTCCTCATAGTGCGTGTCGGGTGACGGTGCAGGAGTATTGTCTGGTTTTTAGTGGCCCTGTTCAGGGCGTAGGTAGGGCCCTGTTCACATCAGCGAGCTCCAAGGCTGGCTGAAGAGGACAGGGAGGAGTCCCACATACCTTCTTCTTTCTTCAGTGGTTGAAGGATGCGTAAGGTATTTTCCAGACACAAAAAAAGTCTAGAAAACCATGCCAGAATCCACACCACCTAATTAACTATATGGAAGCGTCCCAAAAAATATCTACTACATTATGGTAGATACGCTCGTTGCTACACACGTACACATTGACTGCTTTAAGATAATCTGAAATTAGAGTCACGCACGCATTGCGCGTAACACGAGCCGTTTTCATTGCGTCGTTTATAATTATGGATTGCATTATATAGGCGTGTATATAAACAAAGAGGTTTTCATTACGAAGTTAAACAGAGAAGTATTTTCCATGTGCATACGTTCGTTAAAACAAACTGGAGCCCTACTCTCTTTCTCCGAAACGAAATTTCGGCAACGAACGAATTTTAAACGAAATTCAGCCAGTGACTCTACTCTGTTTCATCTTCGAACACGCACATAAAGTTCGGAATCACAGACAATAGGGGTGATGACGGTGTACAGTAAACGAAATTCTATTTAGTCCGTCAGTTAAATGATCAAAAAATAATGGACACGTATTTTTTCTTTGGACAATCAACCAAAAAATGACAAAGTTATAGCGCGTCAAAGTTTGGGAGTAGGGGCTCGTGACGTCACTTTTGAGTGAATTTTCACTTATAAGTGTACTCAAACGTGACGACATGCGAATTTTCAAATCAATATATCTCTGCAAGTTTTATATTATGTGTAAAAAGAAAAAATACGTGTCCAATACTTTTTGATAAGCTACCTGATAAACGAAGAAAAAAAATTAGTCATCATCCCAATTAGCGGGAACGAATGGAATGAGTTAAGTTTGTGAGTTCTTTTCGTCTACACTTTTTACATAAGTTTTTTACTTCAAAACAATATTAATTTATGGCAACATTTTTGATTACATTAAAGCAAACTCTTTTGACAGTGTTAGCCGACTAATTTGTAGAGTTGATGCAATCGAATGTATGTCAACCTAAATTTGTCGTGTAACACTTTGAAGTATTGGCAATGCAATAATAAACAATAATTATATATATTTGTAAATCTTTCATACAAAATAATGTTCCTCACGCTAAGCAGCCTTAATTAAAATCCCAAAACGAAATTGAAAAGGTAACACTTTTCATTTTGTCAATTTGAGGTTAAAATTTCGAACAATTATCTGTCAAATTTAACCTTTAGTTCAGAAGTTTTGTGAATTAGAGTAGGCTTAGAGAATTTAAATGTCAAACTATTTTCGGACGAACGAATTTTCGAAATGAAATAGAAACAGAGTAAGGAACGTGCGAAATTTCGAACGAAATTTCGTTTTTCGTTGAAATAGAGTAGGCCTCCTGAACTGAATACACATATAATAATTGACTTTTCGTGGGTTTGTGATTTCATCAATATTAACATTGTAGCAAAATTATAAATGATCATGTAATTGGAAATTAAGACACACACATTGCGTTCAGAAATTAATACATTCGCTCGCTTAATGAATTAATTAACGAAATAATGTTTCTATACAAAATGGAAGACTAAAACGATTATTTTGTATGATCCAATCCTATTTTTGTTTTAGCTGTGGAGAAGTCGCGATAAAACTCCAAACCTTATGGCACAATTACACTAGTTCGTAACCCGAATACGATTGACAATGGAATTCCGGTAAACGACTAGGTATAAATGAACGTAGTCGAGTAAGCCCGAACAAGTGTAAATACTGCTTCGGTTGGCCGAATTCGAATAAAGTCTTTCGTGCACCCGGATACGGGCTAACGACCAAGTGTTATTGAGCCATTAGACTAAGCTCAAAGCCGTTTAATAAATATTGAAAACCATATTTTCTCTTTTTTTTTAAACACACACCATTTAGCCTAGCCCCAAAGTAAGCACTATAAGGCTTGTGTTATGGGATACTAGGGTAATAGATGGAATACATAAACTTTACATCATCATCAGCCTCTTAATGTCCCCACTGCTGGGGCACAGGCCTTCTCTATGGATGGAATAGGGAGATTGGGCCATGACCCACCACGCGGGAACAGTGCGGATTGGTGGGTGCTAACGACTGCAGATGCAACCGAGACTAACGGCTTAACGTGCCTTCCGAAGCACGAAGTAACTCGAGATAGAAATTTTTTTGGTCACCCATCCAATGACCGACCACTGCGAAAGTTGCTTAACTACAACGATCGCAGCCCAACGCGCTAACCACCTGCGCCATCGAGCTCCTCTTTACATATATATTTATATAGAAATACATATAAAACATCCATGACTAGAGTACAAATGCTCGTGTTCATCACAAAAACATCTGCCCCCACCGGGATTCGAACCCGGGACCTCTCGAGTCGGCGACGCCATAAAACCCGGCGTACAAAACAGTCGGCCACGGAGGTCGTCAATCTTTGCAATGTCAAATACAAGTTAGTAATACCGTGTCCAACAATATAACAATGTCGATTCTTGTTGAAAAGAGATTTATTTTATTTAAACATTGTACTTAATACGAAAGTAAAAGAAACAAATTTTCTTTGATTGTAAAAGTATTTGATATAACTTCAAGTGTTGAAATTAAAAGCTTTGTTTTTTGCAAAGCTCTTGATTTAAAAACGCTATTTGTAAGGTCTTAAATTTAATCATTTTAGTTATAATTTATATTTTTAAGCATGAAACTGCTCGATATTTAAATCTAAAGAAAATATTACTAGAAAAAATTCCACGCGAACCAGGAGAAAACATGGCGCTGCCTTTTCGCTTAAGAAGAGCTAGAAAGAATTCGACACGGCCATCAGGGCCGCGGTATCATAATTGGCGCGGATAGCGAAGGCTGCGGGTTCGAGTCCCATCTGCCGCCCGGTTCGCGTGAAATTTTTTCTAGTAATATTTGCTTTAGATTTAACCATTTTATATATTTATAACCTTTAAATCATAATTATATTTACGTTTTGTCTCTGGATATTAAATTATTTTCGACCGTCATAGTCGTTTGATTGTAAAACTATGACTAAAATGAAAAAGAGTATGACAGATCTGACTTTTATTTAAAAACAAAATTTTCAGTAAAAATTTACAAGTATTTTTATTTAAATTCATTATTGAATGATCTCCAAAAACAAAGTAAATGCTCGCCAAAAAAAACAACTGGTATCCTAAAGGTTAGGTTAGATGGTCTCGTACCCACTGGCCCTTTAAAATTTGGCCTTACTATTACCATAAAATACGTTTCAACGGGTAAGATGTACTTATTTCATTTGATTATCGACGTTTCGCAGCCTTATCAGGTCAGCGTCGTCAGACTAATGATTTTATTTACTTTGTCGAGCCACCTTCGAAAAACTTTTTATTGAACGTTTGGATATTTCATTGGAAGATTTTAAAATGTTATTGTCTATGCGCGAATTTATTATCTGATTTATTAATGAAGTACTTTATTTAAAAATCTTTTTTGTAATTTTGAGTTTATTTATTTTTTGTGTTGCGTCGAAAAGGCTGCGAAACGTCAATAAACAAATAAAATAAGTACATCTTACTCGTTGAAACGTGTTTTATTTAATGAGTGATGTGCGTGAAAACCTAAGAAATAAATATTTACTATTACCAGTTCTATTTTTTGAGACTCATTTAAATCTGACTTCAATTCCCAGGTTGCATGTCATCCACCCTAGTTCTGATTGAATCCTGTGGGGCAAAAAGACCTTATTTCATCAGATATTTCATTAAGATATCACTCAACATTCCTGTCGCTAGTACTGTTGTCTAACTTGCTCCAATTTCCTTGTTTTTCACTTTGGTTTTTATTCAAGATACTTTTACTGTAAAAAATACAATTTAAACTATTAAGAGAAATGGTTAAAGTCGGAAACTACCATATTTCCTCACAAAACTTCAGCGAGAAACGTTGCCAAAGAACCATTAAAACTTTCTGCATTGTTTTGTTATTCCCCGTTTGATTTCGATATTGCATCGGAAGAAGATGCCCGTGTTTACAAACATTAGAGTATATTCTGCAATCATAATAATTTGCTTTCATCATCATCATCATCATAAGCCTATTAAAGTCCCCACTGCTGCGGCACAGGCCTTTCCTATGGATGGAATAGGGAGATTGGGCCATGACCCACCACGCGGGCCCAGTGCGGATTGGTGGGTGCTAAATACTGCAGATGCAGCCAGGACCAACGGCTTAACGTGCCTTCCGAAGCACGGAGGAGCTCGAGATAGTAATTTTTTGGTCACCCATCCAATGACCGACCACTGCGAAAGTTGCTGAACTTCAACGATCGCAGCCGAACGTGCTAACCACATGCGCCATCGATCGAGCTCCTGCAGCTATAATTTGCTTTATAAGAAAGTAAATGGTGTCCGTGACTACGTATGTGTGGAAACAATAATTTCCCATATAAATTAACACCCTAGCTCAGAACAGGAGCTCGAAACACTAACCTCCATTACATTCGGCAATAACTGCTTGTGATCTCATCAAATACTCGAAGTCATCCTCGGCGGTTACTCAGAAAATGCGCTCTATTCACGAACCCGTATCATCCCAGTGATCATTCATGGATCGGTTATAATTGGAACGAAGTTCCTTACGGCAGGCTTGGCAAAATCCCTATCCCCGAACTGAAAAAAATGTGATAGTAAAACCGTAAGAAAAAATCCGTGGAAAAAAGTGCGTGGAATAAAACCGTTAAATGAGACGTGCGCAGGCGTGACAGTCGCATACACAAGCGAGTTTGCAATTTGTGTCGATTCTACATTAGCCGAAGGAACTTCGTTCCTACCTGGTGTCCCACGACACTACATCATTTTTTTAATAAAACTACTTAAACGCATCTATTTTTTTTATCTTTATAGTGGCAGCACTGACAGTTCCATCGCTCTCATCAATCTGTCAGAGTTTCGCTCACGCGCGCAAATTGTGAAATTTTACGAGCTAATTTTTATTAATATTAGTTAAATAAATAGTGTAGCCAGCAAATGTAAGTATCTATAATTTCTTATATGTTAACAGCTTGTTTCTTAGGTTTTCACGCACACCATTTATTAAATAGAACAAGTTTCAAAGGTATAGATGCACTCATTTATTTATTTATTGACGTTTCGCATCCTTTTTATGGGATAATACGGGCCAACCTCCCATTTATTCCAACAGTATAATTAATAGTGCACAGGCACATGATCAGTCGCTCTGATTAAAAACTCGCAGAACTAAGCTTCCAATATCAAAAATATCATCCGGCAGAAGTCAAAACCTGACATGTCATCAGACACTTGTAGTAAATCCCACCGCTCAGCTAGCTCAGAGAAGCAGCTCACGGCTGTAATCTCCTAGTACGACTGCTGGCAGTATATTCGTGTCTTCAGTTTTTTCATGCACGATAAGTCAAGTGTCAACTTGACGCGTACGAAACCTTACCGCTAGCTCAGAGAGTAGTCATTTGGGATCGGGACCACCGGTCCTAATGGGGACATGGAATTAATAAATTATTTTGAGGCGGCCTTCAGGACCGAAGCTAGTGGTCTCGAATGACACCTATGTTTAATGATTATTGAGTGGTAAGTTGGGACCATAAGGCACTTTGCAGACGACGGGGCGGGGCGGGCCGGTCAATTTCGCCGCGAATAATAGCACAAAGTGAATCCTATACTTCAAACGCACACAGAGGGCAAAAAGACCGCGCCTTGGCTGCCCGGCGGGCAGTGGCGCCGCGGCATGTCCGCGGCTGCCCGCCGTGGATCATGCAAACCAGTTTATATGCAGTAACGCAGACGGCGGCGCGGGGCGGCCAGCTCACTCCGCGCCACGCGCTTTTTATTAGTGATGGACTATTCACTAGAACGAACGTCCTGAACTGACTTCCTCTGCCCGTCGTGTGCTTTGTGTACGCGGCGCGGGCAGCCGCAGACATCGACGGGCAGACGCGGTCTTTATTGCTTCGCGGACAAAATGCCCGCCCCGCCCCGCCGTCTGCTCAACGCCTAAATATAACAAGGCACTCACCTCCCAGTAGGTCCGGCGGCAGTAAATTCCCGTCATCAGTATAATCATGTGCGGGCGCGCGGCACTTGTGGTCGCGCGCGGGGGCCGCCCTCACCGCCGCGGCGGCCGCGCACCACGCGCCCGCGCCCCCCGCGCCAACACCACCCGCGCCAACACTATACTCTACCCGCACGACTCCTTCCACTGGACCGCCACACCATCTGACAAGCTTTCAACTTTAGATTGACAGATATATTATGGTCATTATGGTCAAGTCGCCCAGAGGAAACCAGTAGGGATTACACTACGAGACCGCAAGACTGACACCTGGCTTAGAAAGCAAAGCGGGGTAACTGATGCCGTTAAACACATAGCGAGTTTGAAGTGGCAGCGGGCGACACATATAACCCGAAAGCATGGCTCGCGGGGTAAGGCTGTCTCGGAATGGAGACCTTGGGGCGAGAAACGACCTAGAGGAAGACCACAGATGCGTTGGAAGGATGACGTTAGGAAAACTGCAGGGACGAATTGGATGGAAGTGGCGCAAGATCGAACTAGATGGCGTTTGAAGGAGGTCTACACCAGACTGGTTGAGAATGGCTGAAGAAGAAGAAGAATTATGGTCAGTACACACGTAACGATATATCGTAGCGATTTCAGACTGTGCGGATAAATCGAACGTTCCCAGTGACTCCACACGCCTTCGATATCGGCGTCGATTGTTCGTTCTCCGCAGAAGCTCTCGCAAGAAACGTGTCATCCGCGACGGAAGATTATGACGCAATTGAAATTTTATTGAGTTATTTATTATAGGTGGTTCTAAGATTATTGATTGGCGTTCGGTTCGATGGCTTTGTATTTATCGACAAGCCTGTTATAGGCATTTTTTTTGTTGCGATCGTGGTGATCCTTCTCTTTCTTCTTCCGACATGTTGCCGTTTAAGAGCCAGCTGCATGTGCGCACACTTGCGAGCTCCGTGAAGTACCTACTGCCGAACTGAGCGATCGCCATCCACACGCGACGATAAAACTGTGCAAACGCAATCGATAACGATTTATCTAATATATATCTACTACCACCGACGAACGTTAATCGACAACGATTTGTCATACACACGTTCGATAAATCTGCGCAAATCGATCTGCACAGTTTGATCGTTACTATAAATCGTTACATATGTAGCAGGCATTACACAGTATCAGAATAAGAACTAAAGCATAGAAAGAGTTTAAATTCAACTCCCAACCTCGACTCATTTGTGGTCTTCTTATTTTTACATATCGACCGAAAAAGGGACAAGTGTAGTAGAATGGCAGTATTGATTTTAGCTTCACCGCCATAAAGCCCATGGTCTCCGGGACGCGGGAGGGGGATGCGCTCGACCGATCGATCAGTAGCCGGTGGGCCGCCGACAGCGATAGACGTTCGATGTCAAAGCTCGCGTGGTTGCAACCTTGTCTCTGCTACACATGAGACCAGTTTGCGGTATACAACAAACGTGGAATTGCCGAGTCTACGTAATAAAAAGTTAAGAAGACAAGCAAAGACTATCCTTTTAAATATGGCGAATTAAATAACTATAGTATTTTATCTGTAAATATGTTTTTCTCTGTAACAATATTTACAATAGAATAAGCTATATACTTACGTAGCAATGTACTGCACATACACTCGTTCTGAAGTGCCCGGTAGTATTAGTAAGGTCTTCGGCCAGAGTCTGAAGGCATCGCTGCCAGTCCATATTACAGCTAGGTCTAAAGTCACCGTTCCTGTGAGGCAAAGATTCAAAGATTCAATTTCTCATTCGGCATGTATCAAAGGTAAACAAATGACTCGACTAACTTATCTACCCAACATCTCTCATAGGCAAACAATTATAAGAAGGAACCACCACATATGTTAGGTGGGCTGACGACATCAAGCGAATCGAGGGGGACACACTAGATTATTTTTTATAGATAGATCCGACAAATTACTCCACCCCACCTGATGTTAAGTGTCGCTGAAGTCCAGACGCGAAGATAGCTGGTACAGTAGTTCTACCTGCCACACCAGCCATCCTCACCTTGCCGGCCTGCATGTTGCTTCTTCTCGCCTCTTTTAAAGGATCCGAAGTTGTAAGATGCGGAAAGCGCAGGATCGTTGTGTACAGAAACCCCTTGAGAAAGCTTATGTCCAGCAGTGGACGTCCATCGGCTGATGATGAGGTGCAAAAGACTGCAGATGCAGCCGAAATCACCTAGTTAACGAGCCCTTTGAAAAGCACAGCAACAATTTTGGCCACTCACTCAATGTTTCTTTACTTTTACTATCATAGAACACTTAAGTACTAAGCTCCTCGTTTAAGATATCAGTGGTAAATTTTCATCAAACCCGCTATCAGTTTTTCAAGTTTCTTCCTTACAAAACAGATTGACAATATTTCATGGTAAAATATAACTTACGACTGGAGTGTGACACTGTGAAATATGACTTTCTGGTGTCGCCGTCCGCCACAAAGCCGAAATCTATGGCGGCTGGTTCTATGTTGACTCTGGGATACTCCAACTTCAAGATTAATGGTATGCTCTACAAACAAGAATAATGTTAATGTTTTAATTACGGACGGAAATAGTGTTGAAGTTTTAATTACGGACGAAGTAGAAGATGTGTGTTTCTTTTCTACTCAAATACTCACACTCAAAAAGTTTAATGGGTTCAAATGTTTACATTATATTTTTCCTTCCCTAGCATACGCCTCGCGGTATGATATATAGCTCGTTTTATCCTCCTAGCATACGCCCCGCGGTATGATATATAGCTCGTTTTACTCTCCTAGCATACGCCCCATAGTATGATATATAGCTCGTTTTACCCTCCTAGCATACGCCCCGTGGTATGATATATAGCTCGTTTTACTCTCCTAGCATACGCCCCATAGTATGATATATAGCTCGTTTTACTCTCCTAGCATACGCCCCATAGTATGATATATAGCTCGTTTTACCCTCCTAGCATACGCCCCGTGGTATGATATATAGCTCGTTTTACTCTCCTAGCATACGCCCCATAGTATGATATATAGCTCGTTTTACCCTCCTAGCATACGCCCCGTGGTATGATATATAGCTTGTTTTACTCTCCTAGCATACGCCCCATAGTATGATATATAGCTTGTTTTACCCTCCTAGCATACGCCCCGCGGTATGATATATAGCTAGTTTTATCCTCCTATCATACGCCCCGCGGTATGATATATAGCTCGTTTTATCCTCCTAGCATACGCCCCGCGGTATGATATATAGCTCGATTTTATCACACTCAATTGTCAAATTACTATGGAGTTTGACAGTAAGACTTGATACAAACGTGTTACATAAAAATGTATAAATCTGTTCTACCTTTCAACCTTATTATCTTAAGTTCGAATTGACATCTTAAATTTCTGCTTTGGTCCAGAAGTCTAAGATAAACAAATTTAGAATATTGACGAAATAATGAAGTGAATCGGCTTACTAATAACACATTGTCTGAATCGTAGAAGTGGAGAGGTGTCACAGTTTTTTTCCATTGCTCGTACTGCGGAGATGTACTCGCTGAGGCTTCTACTCTTGGCCAGACGTCCGCCGTGTGTATGCAAACCTCCACTGTCATCTAAATAAATATATATCATCTAAATTTGACGACCTCCGTGGCCGAGTGGTTTGTACGCCGGGTTCCATGGCGTCGCTGACTCGAGAGGTCCCGGGTTCGAATCCCGGTGGAGGCAGATATTTGTGTGATGAACACGAGCATTTGTACTCCAGTCATGGATGTTTAAATATGTATTTCTATATAAATATACTTATATATGTAAAGTATGTGTATTCTATCCGTTACCCTAGTATCCCATAACACAAGCCTTATAGTGCTTACTTTAGGGCTAGGCTAATTGTTGTGTTTAAAAAAAAAAACAATCATTTATTCATTCATTCAAATTGACAGATTCTTATTTTATCGATACAAAATCTGCTAACCTTTTTAAATATAATATAAAGTGACTCAAGTGGACTAGAGTAACACATTGTTGTCTTGTCAAAGCATCAAGAGTTTTTTAGGATACTGAAACTTCGTTTCGACACATTTTAAAGAAATTCCTGGAGAGGAATTCCAATAACATTATTAAAGTGGACGATGAGAAAAGTGAGTGACAAATTGTTAAAACCTCGTTATCAACCTATTATAAGTAGCTCCCGTAGCTGGTTAAAAGGCCTTGTCTCTGGAGAATTGACTTTAGGTTCATGAACAGGCTGTCCGGTGCAGATGATTACTAATACAGTCAGTTATAATATGCCTTGCATTTGTATAAACAATCTCGACACAGTAAATTCTTGCAGTATTACCACAATGTAAGTCCGGAGTTGAACAGGGGTTTAAAAAAACATCATATATATAATTTGCCCAAGCATGGTTTAAATCAGTGTATTATTTTTTTATATTACGACCCACAGCATCCCAAGCTTCTACAATCAGAATATAATCAGTCAGTCAGATCCAAATAGCCATATTACCACTTAGCCCCTAAAGATGCTTGCCCCTATCGGCAAGGCATCCTCCCTTACAATCAGTCTCACACGAACAAATAATTTGGTGACACATTCCTTTGTCGTGGAATATACGAATGTGGAATTCTTTGCCCGCGCACGTGTTCCCTGATCCTTACCACAATCTGGGGTTCTTTAAAGAAGGCGTGGAGAAGCAGTTCTACAAGCCGGCAAGGTGAGGATGGTTAGTGTGGCATTTTATAACTGCTGCACCGGTTACCTTATTACATCAGGTGGGGTAGAGTCATTTGTCTACCTAGCTATATAGTGGTCAGGTAAGTGCCATCCATCTTGATACTGACTTGATTGGAACTCATGGGCGGGTAGTGTAGCGCAACGTTATGGGTCCTCTCTCCACTGCGGTTGACGCAGCCGCAGCCCGAGCCGCACGCCAGCTGGTGGTGGTGGTTCATGACGATGCTCCACGCGCCCGAAGTACACGCTTGTACGTCCAAGTGACCGTTACCAACGTTCTGGATTCGGAAAGTCTTGCGAATCCTATATGGAAAATATATATGAGATTTAAATGTGTGCCAAGTTCAATGGTAATTCCTAAAATTAATTTATAAGAACTAAAATATTTTATAACAACTTATTAAGCCTAAGGTCTGACTTGGCTAGTTCTTCGAAACAAATTATTATTACTACTCAATATTTTGTTAGTATTAAACTTAAAATTAAAGTTAGTACAATAAAAATATAATTTCATATGTAATGTGTATACAGCGTCTCATTAGAAGACTATCCCACCCGTCATCAACTACTCTCAGAATGCTATTTGGACTGCTGCACACCCTTTGCAATAACGATGTGGAACGCTTACGCATTGTGGCGGCAACATCTACATACCCCACATATATAATATAACATAGAGGAAATAGTCACTCGCCTCCTTAAGAGATGGCGCTACCGGCGCTGCGTTCACAACGTAAGGAAGCCTACATCACGCAAGTGAAATTCGGCAGCCAACAGTTCATATATACGATGCCCGACCAACATCAGTCGGGCCGCGGCCCCCGAGCTACCATCACCCAAGATCTTCCCCTTTAGCCTTCCTACACGCATTATGGCATGGAAGCCATCAACACAAGCGTCCGCAAACATTGCCTAAGCACTACACAATCGCGGAAGCCCAAACAGAACCTGGAAACTGTTGTATATTGGACCCGCAGCGCGTTGTTTGCCCACTTTGTGTACCAGAGCCGCAGACTACACGTATAAAAGGATTGGCAGAATGCTTTAAAAATCGTCACCTAAACTCGTCTATACAACATGCAAATCTGCCAACATGTTGCAACAGACAGCTAGCGCGCTGCATTCCCTCACAATGTCCAGATCGTCATCGTCATCGTTATTACAGTGTCGGTGATCCAGTGACCAGGGTATTTAATCTGCGACACCATCTTTAAAGTCGTAAAGTCAAAAACTAATACAGTCATGGAAGAGCCCTATCTTCTTTCTTGGCTTCTATTCTTCGATGGCTAGTTTCTACAGGCAAGCCACGTGAAGACCTTAAAATCCACTTAGGCCGAATGTCATCAATTTTGATTGCTGATTCTTACATTACAAGCACTATAAGCAAGTGTTTTAATTAGAATCAATTAATTGAAAAAAACAATAAATTGATAGAAATTTACTAGTTTCTGGTGTATGCCTTTAACCCAACTTCCTATCTGAATGCCAATTTGGAACTTTCTAGGTTATCTGGAACTGGCATATAGTTTTGATCTATAGGTCGGTAAGCGATAAATTTAAGGATTTTTGGATGTTAATATCTTAATAACCGTTTGAGGTGCGTTTATGAAAGGAGCACATATGTATATCGCAAGTCTCAATATACAGAGTGTAAAAATCCTATGACGAAGACTAAAACTACGCATTTTGTACAACCAAACAAGTAATATTACAAAATATTATAGGTGGGAACAATTTGTATTTTTAAGTTAAAAAGATGCAAAAAATCCAGTACGCAATGTATAGCGCGGCGCGCTACTGTGGCGCTACGCAAACAATGTGCCTGTGTGTATGTGTGTGCGTGTGTGTAAGTGCTTCAATAAAAAAGTTCCTAAATAACGTTTCGAAAATATTAATGTAAAAATCTTGAAAAAAATATTGTGACTTTGACCCTCAATATCTCCATATGCACAAATTTCCCAGGTATGGTCCAGAAGAAAAAAATTATCGCCATGATGAGGAAAATACGTGGCCTTCGACTTCGTTAAGGATTTTTTTACATCCTGTATAAGGTAAATTTGGCATATGTGAAACAGTTTTTGAGGGGGTCAAATTGGGTACAAATGGTGCATATAATACCTATATTACACACGGTGATGTTCGCCAGTTCTGTTAGCTTGAACTCGTGTCTAGATATATTCAGAAGAATATTTTATTTAGAAATACATATGAGCATATATAACTAAGTAGGCATCATCGTGAAACATTTTAATTACTTTTTATAATAATAATTAAAAAAAACTTCAGGTTGATGATACAGGGTTTCTGCTGGACTGGCAATAAAAAATCTTTTGACAGCCTTGTCGGAATAGAAATTCATATAACATAAAAACCTTAAACATACATTTTAAAATTAATAATGGCCAAACAGGTAAAACGTGGAGAAAATAAATTAGTACAACGGTTACGGCTATGCCACATTGTTACAAATTCATGTCGACACAAGACAATAAACTGATGTTTCTTAATTAACAGTACTCTTTTGTTTTTTATAAAGATGCCAACGATTTCCTTGAGAAAAACAAACGGAAAATAAAAATAATAAGAGCACGCTACACTGACAAAATTTTAATCTACGAAGGCGGAGGATATATCAGAATACTTTCGCTTGGTTTTGAACCAAGGAGATTATGTATTTTAATTTATTCTTAGATAATGTCCCGACCAAATATTTGGTCTATTTGATAAAGGAAGTGCTTTGGTCGTGAGGTGTTGTATTCTGGTAGTTCCGGAATAGGTTACATGACACCGACACTGTTTGCAGTCAGAGTTTGTTTTTATGCCTAAACAGTGGGACACGGCATTCCTAAACTTTTTCATTTTTAAATCTGTTTTTTGTATTTTTTATTTTATAGTGATAATTGTTTTATCATTTACATTTGTAATGGAAAGTGACTTCATGGGTTATCTCATATTGAACTCATTTTTCAAATTGACGACTCTATAATACAGGGAGAAAAAAACAGCCCTTGCTGAGTTTCTTGCCGGTTCTTCTCAGTACAAGGTCTCCCGCCGTAGATTTGCGAACCGATGGCGTAGCTTTTCGACATTCACAAGTGCTTGTAACAGCCTAGACTGAATAAACGATATTGAATTTTGAAGAGGCGCGCTGCACGCCCGCGTGCACCACGGGCCGCAGTTGCACTGCTTGAAGGGCAGGCTCGGGCCGGTACCAGCATGGACTAGACGACAAATGGAATCAACTAAAGAAAAGAGCCCCCAGCTACAAACCTCATGATGTCACCTCTTGGCAAGTGGAGCGCGCAGTACTGCACCTGCAGTTTGCAGTCAGAGGCGCGCAGCACGCCTGTGCGAACCACGGGCCGCAGCTGCACTGCTTGAGGGGCAGGCTCGGGCCGGTACCAACACGGACTGGACAGCAAATGAAATCATCGGAGTTTGATTGTTATCTAATCCTTTCAATAAATTGAAAAGAGGGCGGGCATAGCGGAATTTTCGTTCGAATTGGAGCGCCCATCGGGGGAAGTTTCCTCTACCTTACAGAAGACCACAGTAAAATAACACTAATTTTTAGTGCTGTTGTGTTTCTGTCGGTGAGTGAGGTTCAGGACTCCAAGGGGTTGGGTCAGGGTAGGAAACGGCGCGAGTGATATGATACTGTTTATATTGCAAGCCTCTTTAGATAACTTCCCCCTAGATCTGATTGAGCTTCCACTGACTATATTTAAATCTCAAATAAAAATACTCTTATGAATAAGGGCTATTATAAAGTTGGTGATTATCTAAATGATCGTAATGCATGGGCATAGTGTTTCTTATAATTTGTTATTTAATCGGTATAAGTCATTTTTCACAACAGTATTATTATATCTATCTAATGTCGCTTTTTATATACTAAATATAATGTTAACTATAAAATTTATTGTAACTATATATTTATATTCTAAATGATGTTATGGAAGGTGACTTCAGACGTGTCTCTGAAGTCATTTTTCAACTTGACGACTCTGTATATAACAATACAGGGAGAAAAAACAGCCCTTGCTGAGTTTCTTGCCGCTTCTTTTCAGTACAAGGTCTTTCGCCGTAGTTTTGGGAACCGATGGCATAGCTTCTTGACCTTCACAAGTGCTTGTAACAGCCTAGACTTAATAAATGACTTTTCATTTCATTTCACTTACACACATTGACAATATAAATGAAAGACAGTTTTGAGAAACCTGTTTAATTAACAGCAAACGTGTCGTCACATAATAGGAGAAAGCGGAAGTGAGAACATAAAAAAAAACCGAGCGTAGACAATTTCCAATAACATTAATTTTTTAATCGTAAACTAAGCAGAGCTTGTACTATGGAAGCATTTGAGCTCATTACACAAAAAATGGTTGCCTGTAAAGTCGGTTTTACGGGCGAAGATTTTACGCGACAACGTCTTTTTCTCGGTAGAATATTTATTGATATGAATATAATTAAATTGCACAATAGGAACAAGGAATTGAATGAAAATAAGAATTGCACAAATTTTAACTATAGAAATATATTTTGTTTACTAAAACATTGTACATGTAAACTTAAACTTAACACGAGAGACTCATCGTAACGTTACCGAGCGTTACACTTTTTCATAAGTGACTCCCAGCCGCAACCTAATTTAAGACGTTGTCACGTCAATAAATGGCCCCTACTAAAATTCTAACTTAAGAACTTGGGAGCAGAAGGCAGAAATGCTACCGTTTAACTAACTGGTCGTCAACTGGTCGTCGACTACTCGCACATAAGTCCCGCCTTCCCCAAAGTTGTAGACAGAGATATCTCTTTTTGCTTTGATCCAGACATACCTTTTAGACTTTCACAATATTTATTAGGAGGAGCTCGATGGCGCAAGTGGTTAGCGCGTTCGGCTGTAATCGTTGAAGTTAAGCAACTTTCGCAGTGGTCGGTCATTGGATGGGTGACCAAAAATTACTATCTCGAGCTCCTCCGTGCTTCGGAAGGCACGTTAAGCCGTTGGTCCCGGCTGCATCTGCAGTCGTTAGCACTGGGCTAGCGTGGTGGGTCATGGCCCAATTTCCCTATTCCATCCATAGGGAAGGCCTGTGCCCCAGCAGTGGGGACATTAATAGGCTGATGATGATGATGATGAATATTCATTAAGTGATATCAATGGGGATGTTTTATTTTGAATCAATAGGTACCAAAAATTGTACACAGCTTTTAAGCCATAAGCTATTTCTATTTCAAATTTATTAAAGTAATCATTTTAGTCCAGGCAACGAATGCTCAAAAACAGGTATAGAGGGAATTGCTTAGAACACAATTTTTGACTTCGTGACTTTGTTAGGACTAGTTAGGAGGTAAACATATCAAAAGTCCCCGCCCGTAGCCCTTAAGCCGGGGGGAGGGGGGGGGGGGGGGGCTTGAAGGTCCCATTTTTAGGTTTTTCGCATATATCTCGAAAACTATGCATCCTAGCGACATGAGACTTTCACAAAAGTGAAAGCTGATTAAATTTGCTACAAGTCTTATTCAGTCAAATTTTTTGATATCTTGTATAGTTTTCGAGATATCCGCTCTTGAAAGTCTGTAATTATGGAAAAAAAATTTGTTCCCATTTTTGCTCTATTTGACCGGATAACTCTTCAACAATGCACCCAAAAAATAAATGCCGGCCGTAGGGTTGTAGAGCATTAAATTATCTTCAATAATAGAAACAATTGCCTTTTTTTTTTTATTTAAGGACAAAATTGTTAGTGTAGTAGACGTATGGGGGCGGTACGGTGGGCACTAGGCCGCGTACTCAGCCCCCACGCGCGGGCCGTCCTGCGCACGTCTGTGGGGTCCTCGCGATACCCCGGGAGACCCCTGCCGCGGAACCTCGGCAAGGCCGGGAGGCTGCTAGGTGCGGAGACGCGGAAGAATCCCTAAACGGGGATTCCGCGGCTTCGCACTAAGCAGCTTAGAGGGTGTTCGCAGGGTTTTTTAGCGGATATTATGCCGTATAGCGCCCGTAAGGGTTACGGGGTCCTCAGTGGGCAGCCACTGCTGGGGCTCGTAAGGCTTGCGGGAGCCAGGTGTGAGGTCCATAAGTAAAAAAGAAAGTAAATTAGTGTCATTGAGAAACTGTAATTATCTAATAATAATATCTGTAATAATGATATCCGCTCTTGAAAATCTGTAATTATAGAAAAAAAAATGCTTTACATTTATGCTCTATTTGACCGGATAACTCTCGGATAACTCTTTAACGATGCACCGATGTCTAAATAGCACACATGCTCATTTTAGAATATGTACTTGTTGGCCCACTGACCAGGGGGCCAATCGCCTAACTGAATTGCTTTGGAAAACGCTATCGCTTACGATTTCATTTTGTTATTTCTAGCCCCCTGAGGTTTTCAAATGCCTCGCGCTCTTTTTTTTTCTTTTGCATTGGTAATAACAATGTTAAAGAAAATGAGCGTGAGGTATTTCGGCGGTTAGAAATAACAAAATGAAATCGTAAGCGATAGCGTTTTCCAAAGCAATCCAGTTAGGCGATTGGCCCCCTGGTTCTTTACACAATCCAGAAAATAAGTTTAAAAAAACTGCAAGAGTTAACTACTTTATGCAAAAAAGGTTATTATAAATTAGATGATTATTTAAATGATAAGATTGTCTGGTGTTGTATTGGTCCAGCTCAACACAAAAAGTAGTATTAAGAATGATTAAAATTATAAAACTGGACTTTAAAAAAAATTGAGACGGTAGGGCCCTGTGCCTCTGGTTTTATTCCGGTTCTCGTTGACTATACAGGTACGAATACGGCAGCAGTTTTCGATACAATTCACTATGACTGTGGCTGCCCACTGAGGACCCCGTAACCCTTACGGGCGCTATACGGCATAATATCCGCTAAAAAACCCTGCGAACACCCTCCAAGCTGCTTAGTGCGAAGCCGCGGAATCCCCGTTTAGGGATTCTTCCGCGTCTCCGCACCTAGCAGCCTCCCGGCCTTGCCGAGGTTCCGCGGCAGGGGTCTCCCGGGGTATCGCGAGGACCCCACAGACGTGCGCAGGACGGCCCGCGCGTGGGGGCTGAGTACGCGACCTAGTGCCCACCGTACCGCCCCCATACGTCTACTACACTAACAATTTTGTCCTTAAATAAAAAAAAAAAGGCAATTGTTTCTATTATTGAAGATAATTTAATGCTCTACAACCCTACGGCCGGCATTTATTTTTTGGGTGCATTGTTGAAGAGTTATCCGGTCAAATAGAGCAAAAATGGGAACAAATTTTTTTTCCATAATTACAGACTTTCAAGAGCGGATATCTCGAAAACTATACAAGATATCAAAAAATTTGACTGAATAAGACTTGTAGCAAATTTAATCAGCTTTCACTTTTGTGAAAGTCTCATGTCGCTAGGATGCATAGTTTTCGAGATATATGCGAAAAACCTAAAAATGGGACCTTCAAGCCCCCCCCCCCCCCCCCCCCCCGGCTTAAGGGCTACGGGCGGGGACTTTTGATATGTTTACCTCCTAACTAGTCCTAACAAAGTCACGAAGTCAAAAATTGTGTTCTAAGCAATTCCCTCTACACCTTTTCGTTGCCTGGACTAATTATATGTATTAAGTATTTTATTATCTAAGCGCATTCCAAAATTCGATGAAAACATGAAGTATAATCTCACTAATAAAGCTGTTGCCCTAAATCCGCTTTCCCTAATTTCTCTGATCGCTAAATTCAATATAATACACTCATGACCAAATAAAAGCCTTCAGTCTGCGTAAGGGAGCAGGCGGTTTTTAAAAGGATCAAGGTCTAAAGGCAGGATTTACCAACTGCCAGTCAAGCGGGCTTAAAAGACTAATCAGTTGTCTGACGCCTAATAGAGTCTTGGCAACAGCGAGAGGATTATTGGAATGGTGGGTCGATGCGTCAGCCATTTACTGTGTTCTTTATCTTTTGAAGTGAAACATTTTTTTTGAGAAGTCATGGTTATTTTACGTAAAACTTCATCGATGTAAAATTGAGCCCTGCAATGTTGTATGCAATAATCTCTATTTAGGAAAGTGAATCCCTTTTTCCATGCTATCGCCATAATTTCATATTCATATTCATTTATTGCATCTTGTTGTATACATAGGTGTTACAAGTATGGTTAGGTTGCAAACAAGAGCCCTGTAAGGGCACGGCAAATTTATAGATTATTATTACAATTAAATATTTTATACAAAATTAAATCACATATCTTAATAATATTACTTATAAATTAATAGTAACATTTAAATACAAAAATAGCTTAACAGATTACATTAATTAATATTATGGGTTTATGTCATGTTTATTTATTTACCTAACCTATTTTTTCGTCAATGTATTCGTTTACAGAATAGTAAGCCTTATTGATTAGAAATTTTTTAAGAT